CCTAACTCCGAGGGTAGACGACGAGGACAGCGATTACCACCAGGAATCTTACAAGGAGTCCTACAAGGACCGGCGGCGGCGAGCACACACGCAGGCAGAGCAGAAGAGGAGGGATGCCATCAAGGTGACTGGGGAGGCCTGCACCTCAGGCAGCACAGGGAGGCCCTGCGCACTTCAGGTCCACTCTGCCCTGACCCTGTCAGGCAGTCCCAAGCAGGCTTGGGGGCAGCTAGTCTAGGCCCTGGACATAAACATCTGTCTCCCTCCTTCCCTGCTGGCCCCTTTGAGTGTGTGAGCATAGAACTTGGTGTCGTGGAAGCTTTGCGTCCATTTGCCTTAATCCTCAGTTAAGGAACCTCTGTTTCCCCTGCTCTCTCCACAGAGAGGCTATGATGACCTCCAGACCATCGTCCCCACCTGCCAGCAGCAGGACTTCTCCATTGGCTCCCAAAAGCTCAGCAAGGCCATCGTTCTGCAGAAGAGTATGGCCAGGAGAGCACTGGAGGGGTTGGAGCCCAGGGGGCTGTGAGAAGGCTGGCACCTTATACTTGCTTTCAGCCTGGCCCTGGTGGGGTGGCTGTAATGGGAGATGTGGGGTCTGGGGTACAGAGAAACAAAATAAGCTTTGTCCTTCTGGTTAAGTCTTCCTCTGTGCTTACCCACTCTTCCCACCTCCACCCCAGCCATTGACTACATCCAGTTTTTGCATAAGGAGAAGAAAAAGCAGGAGGAGGAGGTGTCCACACTACGCAAGGACGTCATGGCCCTAAAGATCATGAAAGTGTAAGGGGGATGCTGGGCTGGGGGAACCAGTGCTTCTGAGGGGACTGTGGGGCCAACCTCAGTTCACACCCTCCCCTTTGTTCAAAGGCCACATCAAATAATACTGCCACTCCCCCAGGTGGCCACTTAAGAGGCAGGACTCTGCCTCCAAATATTGCAGATACTCTGGAAATGCTTGTTGGGTTAATGAAAGGAAGGTTGGAGAGGGTGGGTCACCACTTCAGACCAAGTACCTACATCTCTGGGAATCCCCTTCCCCAGGGAGTACGAGTAAGGCTGTTACTCCTCCTGGGCCAGTAGAGCTGCTGCGGCCCCTTAGCCCTGGCTTGCTTGCTTTCAGGAACTATGAGCAGATTGTGAAGGCACACCAGGACAACCCCCATGAGGGGGAGGACCAGGTCTCTGACCAGGTTAAGTTCAACGTGTTTCAAGGCATCATGGACTCCCTCTTCCAGTCCTTCAATGCCTCCATCTCCGTGGCCAGCTTCCAGGAGCTGTCGGCTTGTGTCTTCAGCTGGATAGAGGAGCACTGTAAGCCTCAGGTATGGGGCAGCAGCGGGCACAGGGTTAGGGTGTGTGTGTGGGGGGGGTCTTCCCTCTCCCCTCAGGCAAAGTGGCCCAAGCCATTGTTTGTTCAGAGATAGGGCAGCAGCTTTTAGGTTTCTTGAGGGTATTTCTACAAGTCTGTATTCTTGTTTCCCTCTTTGCTTTCTAACCCAGATTTTCCTGTTAAGGTTTCATTTGGCAAGAATGGTTTGAGCACTCACTCATGTAAGGCCTGGCTCTTGGCCTTTGTTTAGCATCATGACCACCTCAGGCCCTCCTCGTTTGCCCAGCTTGTAAGCTCTGATCACTTGCAGCAGACTTACTTGGGGTTTGTTGAAAGATTCCTGGCCCCTAACCACAGGCTCGCTAAAGGACTTTTCCTCCAGGTTTCTGATTATTTGTGATAGAGGGTGTGTTAATGGTTGCACTGAGTCTTCTGCTTTTGAGGCCTGGTTACTTTTTCTGAGACTTGTAGCTGAGATTTTTTGTTTCCTAACATTTTTCTAAATATAATTTTTAAAGGTTACACTCCATTTACAGTAATTACAAAATATTGGCTATATTCCCTGTGTTGTACAATACATCCCTGTGGCGTGTCTTGCACTCAGTAGTTTGTACCTCCCACTTCTCCACCTCTATGTCACCCCTCCTCCCCTGCTGGTAACCACTAGTTTATTCTCTGTATCTGTGAGTCTGCTTCTTTTTTGTTATATTCACTAGTTTGTTGTATTTTTTAGATTCCACATGTAAGTAAAATCATACAGTGTTTGTCTTTCTTTGTCTGCCACTTAGCATTATGTCCTGCAAGTCCATCCATGTTGCTGCAAATGGCAAATTTCGTTCCTTTTGATGGCTGACTGGTGTTACAGTGTCTGTGTGTGTGCATACTGCATCTTTATCCATTTGTCTGTTGATGGACACCTAGATTGCTTCCGTATCTTGGCAATTGTAAATAATGCTGATAGGAATGTTGGGATACATGTATCATTTAGAATTAGTGTTTTTGTTGTTTTTTTTCGGATATATACACAGGATGGAATTGCTGGACCATATGGTAACTCTGTTTTTAGTTTTTTGAGAGATCTCCATGCTATTTTCCACAGTGGCTGCACCAATTTACACTCCCACCAACAGTGTACAAGTGTGCCATTTCTCCACATCCTCGCCAACATTTATTTATGTTCTTTTTGATGATATTTTGATAGGTGTGAGGTGGTATCTCCTTGTGGTTTTGATTTCAGTTTCCCTGATGATTAATGATGTTGAGCATCATCTTTTCACGTGCTTGTTGGCCATCTGTATTTTCTCTGGAAAAATGTCTATTCAGTTCTTCTGCCTATTTTTTAAATCAAGTTTTTTTCTTGATGTTGAGTTATATAAGCTGTTTATATATGTTGGATATTAATCCCTTATTGCTAATATTATTTGTAAATATTTCCTTCCATTCAGTAGGTTGTCTTTTTGTTTTGTTGACAGTTTCCTTTGCTGTGCAAAAGCTTTTAAGTTTAATTAGGTCCCATTTGTTTATTTTTGCTCTTACTCCCTTTACCTTAGGAGATGGTTCCAAAAAATTCTGCTGTGACTTATGTCAAAGGGTGTTCTGGCTAGGTTTCCTCTAGGAGTTTTATAGTATCCAGGCTTAACATTTAGGTCTTTAATCAATTTTGAGTTTATTTTTGTATGTGATGTTAGAGTGTTCTAATTTCATTCTTTTACATGTGGCTGTCCAGTTTTCCCAGCACTATTTTTTGAGGAGACTGGCTTTTCTCCATTGCATATTCTTGCCTCTTTTGTCATAGATTAATTGACCATAAGTGCATGGTTTTTACTTGTGGGCTTGCTATCCTGTTCCATTGATCTGTGTGTCTTCATTTTTGCACCAGTACCATACTGTTTTGATTACTGTAGCTTTGTAGTGTAGTCTGAAGCCAGGGACTGTGATTCCTCCAGCTTTGCTTTTCTTAAAGATTGTTTTGGCTACTCAGGATCTTTTGTGTTCCCATACAAATTTGTAAATGATTTGTTCTAGTTCTGTGAAAAAAATACCATTGGAATTTTGAATGGGATTGCATTGAATCTGTAGATAACCTTGGGTAGTATGGTCATTTTAACAATGTTAATTCTTCCAATCTAAGAACACAGTGTATCTTTCCATCCCTTTGTGTCATACTGTTTCATCAGTATCTTACAGTTTTTGGAGTACAGGACTTTTTCTTCCTTAGGTAGGTTTATTCCTTCGTTTTTTATTCTTTTTAATGCCGTGTTAAATGGGACTGTTCCTTTATCTCTGATACTTCATTGTTCATGTATAGAAATGCAGCAGGTTTCTGTGTATTAACTTTGTATCCTGCAACTTTACCAAATTCACTGATTAGGCTCCAACACTTTTCTGGTGCCATCTTTAGGATTTTCTATGTATAGTATCACATCACCTGCAAACAGTGAGTTTTACTTCTTCCTTTCCAATTCGGATTCCTTTTGTTGCCTTTTCTTCTCTGGCGGCTGTGGCTAAGACTTCTAAAACTGTTGAATAAAAGTGGCCGGAGTGGGCATCTTTTTCTTATTCCTGATCATCCTTTTCTTGTTCCTTTCCAACTTTTTTATTATAAAACACTTTAAACATACTGCAGCATTAAGAGAATTTTACAGTGAACACTCATATCCCCCCCAACACCTAAATTCTCACAATACCTTTTTTGTATTTGCTTTATCACGTAGCTGTGCATCTCTCCATCCCTGACTCCATCCTGTTCTAGGGGCATTGCAAAGTAAGCTGTAGACATCAGTGCTTCCCAGAGGCTTCTTTTTTTAACTGTCACCTAAAGAGCACACCTGGCCTGGGCAGGTGTCACTGAGCAGCTCCATGCCCTGAGCATCATCTCTCTCTTCCTCTGCTGCCCCCGCCAGACCCTACGGGAGATTGTGATTGGCGTCCTGCACCAATTGAAGAACCAGCTTTACTGACCGGCTCTTGGAACCTGCAGAACAGCCAACAAGAGGCCTTGAGTCTCCTACTTGGCCGTGGAGCCACTGGGCTTATGCGACTGGACTGTGACACCATACACCAGTCAGCTGCTTTCTCCTTGGTATTTGGCTCCCCAGCTCCCACTGACCCCACCGCAACCCCATCTTCAATGGGGCTGTGGTGTTTTTATTATGAAAGCTTTGATTAATTTATTATATTGACCATAGATCTCAAACCTACCTAGTCTTCCCCTCTCCTCATAAAAGTCCTTGGGATGGGTGTCTGCTCTGGGCAACCCAAAGAGCTCCTGGCTTCTCCCCTTTTTCTAAGCCTCAGATTTCTGCTCATATATGGCAACTACTGCCTGCCTGTTTTGGTCTCTCGGGCAACATTTAGCCCAAATTTGGCCATTTGGGCAGTAGGTGGTTCGGAAGAAAGGAGTAAGAGGAGATACTCCCCATAGTCATGAAGGGTGAAAGGGTGCCTCATGCCTAGGCTAGGGTTGCCTGGTCAGCCCAAGGTGAGGCCAGAGCTTTCGCTGGCCAGCTCAGGGTAGGGCTGCCAGGTTCCTGCCCTCATCTCCTACTCCACTGCCTCCCCTTCTTTTCTACTCTGGGCAGTAGAGGGAAGCAGACTACCCCCTACGCCTGCCCTCTCTGTCCCCACAGGCAGTAGCACTGCACAGCAAAGCCGAGTGGCACAGCACTACATATTAAATGTTTTTATTTTTTTAAACACCAACAATGCAATTTTGCTAAAGTTAGTTACAATTTTGGAAAATTAACAGGCCTCAAGACCACTCTCAGCATTTTTGTCAAGTGTATCTGGGTCCCCACCATCTCAGTGCTGCCTGCATTTCTCCCAGGATTTGGGCTGGGGTGAAGAGGGGTAGAAAGATACTCTAAAGATCTCCTGGGGTTTAGAGCCCAAGAGAGTCCTGGGTGAGGCCCTGAGCTCCTTGAATACCATGCATGGTAGCCTCTCTCTCTGCCCTTGTCCCCCAACCTCCCTTTTGCCTTCCTCAGGTTTGATATCCAGGAGGTTTGATTATCCAGAGGAAATTAAATATTTTTATATCAAATTATATTACAATAAATATTGCTAAATGCTTTCCTTTAGCATTGTTTCAAGTCTAAGTGTTAAGCTCAAGCAGTCAAAATGTGAATGATGAGTGTGACCATCCCCTCGGGGCCACCAGCACCCCCTCCCTCCACACAGCACTCTGGTGTATGCTCAAAGGAGGACAGCAGCAGGAAACAAGAAAGCTGACCTAAACAAGGCGGCCAGCCCAGGGCACCTCTGTTCCCAGTCCTGCTGGAGGGCCTCTCAGGGGTCTGGGAGCATGACATTATGATCTTCATCTGTCTCTATCCCGACTTCCTCCTGTGGGGCAGCGAGACAAGCAAATGAGACCTCCCTGGATGAAGGCCCCAGGGGAGCAAGGAAGGAAGAACACCACTTACAAAGAACTGCTTCTTGCTCTTAGGGTATCCTTCAAGGATTGCATCAGACAGCTCTGTTGCCTGCCAAGAAACAAAACCGCCCCTTTTCAGATGGGAAGTACTCGGCACTGCCTGACAGATCTGTGATAGGGGACAGCTGTTTCCCTGGTGGCTGCCATTTTCCTGGGCCTGCCTGTAGCTCCCATGCACTCACCATCCTCTTCCGCTTCCGCCACTCCTTGCAGTACCTCTGTCTCTCTCTGTACACCTAGACGGGGAAACAGATTCCTCTGACCCCCTCAGCCCTACAGCAGCACTCATCTTCACTGTGGGCCTGCACAGGCAGCCCTCCCTGCTACCCCTCCCTCCCAACCCACCTGCTCTTTCTCTTCTGGAGTCACATGGTTGGTGGCTGCTTTAATGTTCCTCAGTCTCTCAGTGTAGCCAGCACATTCTTTCTTCAACTCCTGGATCTCTTTCTGCATCTCCGGTGTGGTCAAGGCACTAGTTAACTCCTTCAGCTCTGAAACCACACCTCCCTGAGGTCACTTGCCACCCTGAGGTAGGTGACCGGGCATATACTTTGCTCTGGGTTCTAGACACAGGGTCCAGAATGCATCCCATATTCTGGAAATTAAGGCTTACAGAATTATTTGTTCATTCTAGTTTTCTTTCTTTCTCCATCTACAAATGGGGGCAGGGGGAGGTACGAAGTTGAGCAGACTGTAAGCTGTAGCCAGCTAAAGAAACAGGAATAAGGGATGTGAAGTGTGGGAACCGTATACTGACAATCATAGTGGGGGAGGCAAATGCATGTCTTGCCTATTTCTCTTCAAAAGCCATTGGCTGTTAGACATTTATTTTAATTAAAGACAACTCTGCAATCAACAGATCCTTAACTTAGTAGTCCTGACCTCTGGCCTGACCCTGACACTAGGGGCACCGTCCCAGGGGCTGCCCAGTCCTACCAGCCTCCATGTGGCGGCAGCTCTGCTGCAAGCTCTGCACGTTAGCAGTGAGGGCCACGATTTTGGCATCCAGGCCTTGGAGGTCAACATCACTGACCATGTCAAACTGGTCCTGCCAGAGACAAAAGGAAAACAAGCAGACTGGTAAGACACACAGGATGGGAGCCCACATCTGGGAAGGCAACATTCACATTCATTCAATCTGGGACTCCCCAACTCTCCAGAGGGCCTGGGAAAATAGTGGGAGGGTACTTTTGAGAAATCATTCAGTTTAGTACTGGTCCCAACAAAAAGCTGTAAAAGAACAAGTTGAAACCTGATGCTTGTCCTCAAGGGGCTTCTAGGTTGGCGGGATACTGAATAGGACAGAAATATCTTTCAGTTTGCTGGTAAAACCACTCACTGGGCTGAAGGAGTAAAGATTTTTGTCAAGGTGATGATGCCTAATTACAGGTTTCCACAACAGGAAGACTCTGGACAAGTGCAGAGGCACGGTGGGGGGCATTTAGATGAGGGACTCCAGTGAAAGTCTGAGGAGCCCCTCCCATGAGACTAGTGGCTAGAAAAGGCCTGTGCTGGGGCTCAGTGAGGTCTTGTCAGTTGGCAATGGGAAGCAGGATGGAAAGCTGGAATGCCAGCCCGGGCAGTCTGGATTCTACATTCAGGGGAGGGAAACCTTTAGAGCAGAAGGCAGCAAACTACAGCCTGCAGGCCAAATCCTGCCAGATGCATGTGTTTGAAAAAAATTAACTGAAACATAGCCACATCCATTCATTTACATATTGCCTATGGCTGCTTCTGCTCTACAATGGCGGGCTTGAGTACTTGTGACACTTGTGTAGCTGGGACAAGAGACCATCTGGCCTGCAAAACATGAAAATGTATGCCTGGCCTTTTGCAGAAAAAAAAAAATCTGCCAACTTCTCCTTTAAGGGATCAGCAGTAGAATAACATAGTGAAACCTATTTTAGGAAAATTAGCCTTATGGTGGTTAAATGAGGATTTAATATCTCCGAGGACTTGATGTCTCTGGGATGTTTAGATCCTGTAGCGGGGCTGAGTAAAGGAAGATGAATGAGGGGGGACAGTATAGCTCAAGCAGTAGAGCGCATGCTTAGCATGCACAAGGTCCTGGGTTCAATCCCCAGTACTGCCTCTAAAGATAAATAAACCTAATTACCTCTCCCCTCCAAAAAAAAAAAAGGATGAATGAGAAATGGGGTCTGCCCTAGAAAGAGCTTCAGTTTCATAAGGGACATAAGTAAAGAAAATAATGAGTATGCCTCAAAAGAGGTAAGTGCCTGAGGAAGGCAATTATTGAAATCCTAAGGGATTAAATAAGAGTTAGCTGGGCAAAGAGGAAGAAAGGACTCAAAAACTCTGGGCAGATATATTTTAAGTGGATTGGCTGGTTGTTTGCTTTTTAATTGAAACACAGTTGATTTAAAATGTACTAGTTTCTGGTGTACAGCATGGATGGACTTGGAGGGCATTGTGCTAAAAGAGTAAGTCAGAGAAAG